CCTTGAAACATTCAACTTAATTCATTCTTCTCAGCACGGGTTCACCCAGGGACGTTCTTGTCTCACAAATTTGCTTAGCTTTTTCTCAGAAGTATTTGAAGCGGTAGATAATGATAAGTCATATGATATAATTTATTTAGATTTCAGTAAAGCATTCGATAGAGTCCCTCATGAGAGATTGATAAGGAAGTAGAAGCACATGGAATAGGTGGATCAGTATTAAAATGGATTAGGTCATGGTTAACTGGTAGGAAACAAAGAGTCAGCATAAATGGATTAAAGTCAGACTGGGGTGCGGTCAAAAGCGGAGTTCCCAGGGATCTGTATTAGGCCCTCTGCTGTTTGTTATATTCATTAATGATCTTGATTTAGGCATAACTAGTAGGATTAGTAATTTGCAGATGATACCAAAATGGGGAGAGTGATAAATTCAGACAGTGACTTTGAACACCTTCAAAGAGATCTAGATACCTTACATGAGTGGTCAGTAGACTGGCAAATGAATTTTAATACTGATAAATGCAAGGTACTACAGATAGGGAAGACGAATACAAACGTTAAGTATAAACTAGGTAACACGGAAATAGAAAACTCAGTTTGAAAAAGATCTAGGTGTATTTGTTAGCAACGACTTGAAACCTAGAAAACAATGTATTAGCGTTCGCAACAAGGCAAACAGGATTCTTGGGTTCATATCTAGGTCTGTGAGTAACAGAACTGCTGACGTTATCTTGAAACTTTACCTAGCATTAGTGAGGCCACACATGGATTATGCGGTTCAGTTCTGGTGTCCTTATTATAGAATGGACATAGATTCTTTGGAGAGAGTACAAAGAAGAATGACAAAAATGATCCATAATATTAGAAACCTTCCATATGAAGAAAGACTGAAAAGCTTAGGCTTACATTCATTAGAGAGGCGTAGAGTTAGGGGAGATATGATAGAGGTGTACAAGTGGGTAAGTGGGATTAACAAGGGTAAAATGGAAGATGTTCTGAAGCTCAGTAATAACGAAATAACTAGAACAAATGGCTTTAAATTAGATAAATTCCGATTCAGAAAGGATATAGGCAAGCACTGGTTTGGAAATAGAGTTGTGGATATGTGGAATAGGCTACCGAGTGCTATAGTAGGATCGGGGACGCTAGGGAGCTTCAAGACGAAGTTGGATAGGCACATGGAAGTGCTGGGATGGGTGTGAAAGGGATCTGCCTGTATGGGCCAGTCGGCCTCCTGCAGTATCCCACTTTCTTATGTTCTTATGTTCAATAAAGAGTGAAATAGGAACCGAGTCTGTATGGGTAGAAATCACGGAAGGAAGAGAAAAACTAATTATGGGAGTGATTTACAGACCCCCAAGTCTGGGCAAAGAAGCAGCTCAGTCCATATGGCAGGAAATGAGTAGGGCAGCAAAATATAACAACCTGTGCATTATGGGGGATTTCAACTCCAGAAATATTGACTGGGACAACATTGTAGGTGAATATGAATCTGAAGACTTCCTAGACGCAGTACAGGACAATTTTTTGAAACAACTAATTACAGAACCTACTAAAGGTGACAATATATTAGACCTAGTATTAACAAATAAAGAAAATATTATCAGATATATCACAGTAGGGGAAGAACTAGGTAACAGTGATCACAGAGAAATCAGGTTCACCCTAAATTGGGAAACAAAAACAATGACAATATGGTCAGAGTCCCAAACTTTCGGTTGGTGGATTATCAGGGATTAAGAAGGTACCTAGGTGAGGTCACCTGAGAACAGTCACGTCAGTCCCCAGTAGGAAGGGGTGAGGTCATAGATGACACAACAATTGATCATGATTATAATATATTCACTAGTATACTACATAAAGCACAAGAATAAAATATACCATACAGAAAAATTAGGTCAAATAAGAATGAGCCAAGGTGGATGACCAGAAAACTTAAACATGACCTAGGAATAAAGAAAGGAATTTATAAGAAATTAAAGGGTGAGGAGGAGCAGCTCAGAAATAGGTATAATGAACTATCTAGGAATGTTAAGAAAAATGTAAGGAAAGCAAAGAGAGACTATGAAGTTAAAATAGCAAGAGAATCCAAGGCGAATCCCAAGGGATTTTTCCAGGTATATAGAACAAAAGTCAAGGACAAAGTTGGGCCTTTAAAGTCAGGGAGGGGAGAAGTGATAAATGGCAGTGAAGAAATAAGCAAAGCATTGAACAACTACTTCTTATCAGTTTTCACAGAAGAAATTCGGGAGGAAATTCCAGAGATGGAACTGATATTTAGGGGAAAGGAAGAAGAGAAATTAAAGAATATCACTATCAGAAAAGACGATGTTCTTAAGAGGATAAATAAACAAAAGAAGACAAAATCCCCAGGGAACAGATTAGCGGACCCCTTGTAAATTTATTTACAAAATCTTTAGACACCGGAGTTGTGCCAGACTTGTGGAAACAGGCAAATGTAGTACCCATATTCAAAAAGGGAGACAGAGCATCAGCGTCAAATTACCGGCCGATCAGTTTGACGTCAGTAGTGGGGAAATTTCTTGAATCAATTATAGCAGATAGCATCCGATCGCATCTAGAGAAAAGCAAATTAATCTAAGACTCGCAACGTTTTTTAGGAATGTCTTCGAGGTAGTAGATAATGGCGAAAAATTAAGGCTCATGGTATCGAGGGGAAAGTTTTAAATTGGATAAAATCATGGATCACCGATAGAACGCAGAGGGTCAGTGTAGATGGTGTTAAATCTGAGTGGGGCCGTGTAACCAGTGGGGTTCCCCAGGGGTCAGTACAAGGCCCACTCTTGTTCATAATCTACATAAACGATCTAGATACTGGGATCAGCAGTGACATAAACAAGTTTGCCGATGACACCAAAATAGGGCGGCAGATTAATTCAGGGCAGGATGCAAATGCATTACAGGAGGATCTAAATAAACTGCAGGGGTGGTCTGAAAAATGGCAAATGAAATTCAACACCAGCAAGTGCAGCGCACTTAATGTTGGAAGAACAAATACTGACAATGTATACAGCCTTAACAACATCAACCTAGAGAAGTCGACTTGTGAAAGAGACCTTGGGGTACTTGTAAGCCCGGACCTACGCCCTAGAAAACAGTGCGTTAATGTTCGAAATAAGGCAAACAGAGTATTGGATTTTATATCTAGAAGTGTAAGTAAGAGTGCAGAGGTCTTATTGCAAATATATCTTGCGCTAGTCAGGCCGCACCTCGATTATGCGGTTCAGTTCTGGTGCCCTTATTATAGAATGGATATCAATTCACTAGAGTCGGTGCAGCGAAGAATGACAAAAATGATTCCGGGACTTAGAAACCTTCCATATCAGGATAGGTTAAAGAAACTTAACTTGCATTCCCGAGAAAGACGAAGAGTGCGGGGAGATATGATAGAAGTATTTAAGTGGGTGAAAGGAATCAATAAAGGGGATGTAGATAAAGTTCTTATAATATCCGAGCAGGATAGGACTCGGAGCAACGGATTTAAGTTGGATAAGTTTAGGTTTAGGAGGGAGATAGGAAGAAACTGGTTCACAAATAGGATGGTGGACGAGTGGAACAATCTTAGCAACTTTGTAGTAAGTGCTGGAACTCTGGAAAGTTTCAAAAGGCGGCTAGATAGATTCATGGATGATAGAGAGTGGTTGTAACTCTCGACAGGAGCTGCCATGCACAGGCCAACTGGCCTATTGCAGACTCCTTATTTTCTTATGTTCGTATATTTTCATCATACACACACACATATATATATAGTATGCAAATAAATCAATGTAGGTGTGCGTGATCTAAATCCATGTAATATCCATGTAATATGTTCTACTTAGGTCAAACTGGAAAAATCTTTTAATTAAACTTAAACAACATAAATATAGTGCTAGGACAGGCCAGGAATCCAATGCTCTGTTCATTCATATGAGGGATAATAAGCATTGCATTGACTGGGATAATGCCTCCTCAATATTACCTTGCAATTCAATCGTCAGTAGGAATATTATAGAATCTAGTCTCATTAAGCATACCGAATCTGTCAACATGAATTTGAGTAATGGCATGTACAAATTGGACAATTTTGTCATTAAGAAAAGTTGTAACCAGGTGAAAGGGTTAGGTCACTACTTAATAACTTAAATGTGATGGACACTTGCTATCCATAGGGACTTGATCTCATTCTCCATTATTTTTTATATTAGCCTTGTTAGTAATGTAACTACTCCTTACAGGAAAGCGCTTGGGAACTTCATGTTTTCTTTTTCCTATGTGGTTATCAGCATATACATGGTTCATGCGCACCTACAAGGGTCGTTTAACTGAAGTTCGCATTGCAAATACAGTGCACGAATAATAAATATGCAGTTTATCTACGAATCTATAATTATTCCAATGACTGGAATGGTGCTGATATTTTAGCTCTGTACGAGATCGTGTATGCCTGATACAGTTGTGGTGTCGAGGTTAGTGCATCAGCTTTGTTTCAAACTGGCACAATTATGAGATCACGATGATTATCATAGAAAATTTAAAGGACCAGAGATGTAAGAGTGTTCATGAGAACATAATAACATAAGAACGAAGGAAACTGCAGCGGGCCTATTGGCCCATACTGGGCAGTCCCGTTTACACCCAACCCCCTATCGCTCATATATCCATCCAACCTATATTTGAAGTTATTCAGCATATTCGAGTTAATGGTGTTTGGTAGCTTGTTTCACTTATCCACTACTCTATTTCCAAACCATTGTTTACCTATCTCGCGCCTAAATCTAAATTTGTCTAATTTAAAACCATTGCTACTAGTTCGGTCTTGGTTGGTTAGTTTCAGTACCTTTTTGATATCACATTTGTTTAGCCCTGACTTCCATTTAAACACCTCGATCACATCGCCCCTCACACTACGTCTGTCGAGGGAGTGCAAATCCAGATGCTTTAACCTGTCTCTGTACTCAAGGTTCCTAATGCCCGGGATTAGTCTTGTCATTCTTCTCTAAATTCTTTCTAGGGATTCCATATCCATTCTGTAGTACGGTGACCAGAACTGAACTGCGTAATCCAAGTGAGAATCACGTTACACTGCACACTCTCTAGATGTCTTTGGTGCATAACAGTTAGAAACAGGATCAGGCACGGGAAGCATAGGCAAGATTAGTTCGTATGAAGGTTCGGAAACCGGTAGGCGAAGAGTTTCATATTTGATCCCTGTCGGTTTTTCGGCATTCGCAATCCCATTTAGTTCTCTCCAGATTATTTTTTTACAAGAGGCGACTAACCTTTTTCCTATATCATTTTTTTTTTGCACCGAACTAATCTAGTAATACTTCTGGTGCTTAATGATTCGCTATATGTAGCTCCTCTATGCAATAAAATCTGAAATCGCTTGACTGTAGAGAAATTCACAAGTGCGTATTAATGACAATGACAGGAGTGTCTACAGTTTGATTAAGTAAGTAATGAAACAGCAGGGAGAACTGGTTGTGTTCATTTTACACATGATTTATACTGAGTCTCGATGTGGAGGGAGGGAGGGGTAGATGTAGACAGGGGGCGAATTTGTTGCTTCAGTAATTGGATCATCCGGCACGAACATGTCCACCACCTGCAACGCCGCCATGAATATGAATCCTATAATTAAGGTCAACATTTTGACATAGCTATTAGTGGATTTGGCACGTTCCCTCTCCAGCACTTCACAAAAAGTCACATACAGGATAGTGCCTGCCGAGAGTCCCTGAAGAACAGTAGGGACGATAACTTCAGCGGCCGACTTCCCCGTCATCATGGAGACCACCACTGTCCCTAAAATGCCGCCCATGGGAGATGCCAATGAAAATATAACCATTGAAAGCAAGAATGCCGTCAGAGAAGCTTTAGCTTCCAATAATTCCATTCCCATACAGAAGGCAATAATTAATTTGTGGGAGCAAATAGCAGCAAAGAGCAGCCACGCGTCCATTGGCGTGTGGACGAGGCCAAGTGCCAGACCTTCCATGATACTGTGGAGAGACAGTGCCATCACCACCACGACTGCACGCATCACAGAAAAACCTCCATCTCCAGGTTTCAAGGCGTCCACAACCTCCCCCGCTTCACCAGCAGAACCCTTATTCTGAGCCATCTTTTCAATACTCTCTCCATCAATATTTACGTCATTTTTAGAATATGTAAACTTCTTCCTGCGTGTCGTCTCAGTTTCTTCGCTCATTTCCATGCCTTGGTGTCCATGCATTAGTAAGTGGCTGTGACCATTACGATAAAGGCATGAATGCACCAATTCCTCAGAGATGTACATGAAGAAGAAGCCACAACATACGATAAGTTCCGAGAGCGGGTATGGCACATGTGGGAGGAAGCCAGAGGTGGTGGCCAGCTGCAGGTAGACACGGGTTTCTGGCAACAGGTGGAGGAACACAGTGGCCATCAACACACCGCCACCGAAGCACAAACACCCGCTCATAAAGTTCTGTAAAAATATGGATTTAGGTAAGACTTGGAGTCTGATACAGTAACAGTTATCCACTTAACCCCAAATACCAAACAACTGACATTGGCTTTAATATAAATAACTCAATCGCATTATGCTTTTCCCTTGACGTCTATATAATCTTACTCTGGTAATAAAGAGTAATCAACATTCAAATCAAAGCATTCCCCCTCTGTTCCTCATTACAGTATATACGTTTTTCAGTATATATATATATATATATATATATATATATATATATATATATATATATATATATATATATATATATATATATATATATATATATATATATATATATATATATACCGTGTATATATTATTTTTTCGATTTCTTTGCTAGTGAAATACAACCGACATATTCTCGTCCTCCTGGAGACTGTTGGCTGGGAGTTAAAAATTTGACTACCAACTACAACATGCGAGACACGTCTACACGCATAACGTACAGTACTGTCCAGTACTTATACTCTCTTGCTGAACGCGAGTGAACCACTTGTCACTGACCATCATAACCACAGAATCATTTTAAACACAGTTTTATCTACCATAATCCTTCAGTGTAGTATCATCTACTGGGTGTGTTACAAGTGTCGTCACAGTGTAGTGTACCATCAATCTGGTGACGTGGGTGTGTACCCTTAACCAGGTGACGTGGGTGTGTACCGCTAACCAGGTGGCATGGGTGTGTGCCGTTAACCGGGTGGCTGTGGGTGTGTACTGTTAACCAGGTGGCATGGGTGTGTACCCCTAACCAGGTGGCGTGGGTGTGTACCCCTAACCAGGTGACGTGGGTGTGTACCCTTAACCAGGTGGCGTGGGTGTGTACCGTTAACCAGGTGGAATGGGTCTCACCTGGGAGGAGGAGGTTCGGAAGCGACCGGCCAGGACCTTGCGGACGAGTAAAGGCAAGAGGGAGAAGGCGAAGGAGAGGATCGCCATCGTCAGCAACACCATCACCTTCGTCTCCACCAGGTTCAGCATCCTGTCTCACCCACCTCCTCGTTCTCTGTTCCCGCTGCTGTTACCCAGCCTTTGCTGCTACTGCCCGGCCTCTGCTGCTACTTTCCGGCTTTTGCTGAGACTGCCAGGTTTCTGTTCATACCGTCCTGCCTCTGCTGTTCTGACTAATTACTACTGCTGATTTTCCTTACTTCTATTGATAAATCTGCTGATACTTCTCGCTTCTACTACTTCCTCTGTTTGTTCTCTCACTCACACTTTCTTCTGCTCTTGTTTCTTCTGTTCGTCCTCGTCCTTCCTTTAAGACCTGATCCAGGAAAATTCTTAATTATTCTTTATCCCAGAAAATATTAATCAATAATATTCTCATCATTAGAAAACCAACATGTTATAAGGACCACCTTTTAATAGCAACCAGCTTTTAAAAACTATGACCTGACCTATTACCCAGTGACTTAAGACAAGTGATGACTGCGTTGCCCTCTTGAGGTGGGTCAGCGACAGAAAATGGATCACTTGAAGATTAGGACACTGTAGCTTATTTTACCTGATCATTAAACACCCTAATGCTACCTGGTGGGGTTAAGTTCAGGTTAGTAGGTTAGATTAGGTGAGGCCAGGTTAGATTTGGCAAATGTTAGGTTAGCGTCAGGGTGGTTAATATTAAGGGTGAAATAAACTGGTATGCCTAATCTTCACATAACTCCCCCCCCCCCTAAAAAAATAAAAAATAAATGATTAAAAGGTGAAACTCAAGGTGCCAAGGCCTTGAGTGGATCTTTGCTGGAAGGAACACACTTTTATAAAATATAGGCGAGTGTCTGGTGCAGGTATTGGAAAAACCTTGTTACTTAGTATAAAGGTTGGGGGCCTCTGGGATGAACTAGCCAGAAGTGTTGGGGAGGCAGAAATGTGTGTGTGCGTGTGTGTGTGTGTGCAGTTTTATGTAATAAGACAAAAGAAATAGTTGTGGGTACAAAATGTGCTAACTATGGTGACTTAATAATGGAAGTTTTAAGATAAGAATGTTGTAACACTAAAAATTATCAAAGATTTAAGAACGCGGCCACATCGCCAGACTGTGACCCCAGGAAGACATCACGTTGATCAAGTGAACCTGATATTATATGGACCGCTAGACTCGTTATGTTTACACACTGTTTTACGAACACTTTCAAATATCTAATCTGATAAGTAATGAGAGATAATGAGATTATTCATGGATTGATGACCATATGATTAGACTTGTTCTAAGTAAGTTGGTCATACTATCATGAGCTGTTATAAAGAAGTATCTAATTGACGATACTAGTTATCAACAAAACACTTTTGGTTATTTATGAAAAAACAGAGGACACAAAACACACCAAAACACCCATGCACATATACAAGTATACTCCCCTGTATATATATATATATATATATATATATATATATATATATATATATATATATATATATATATATATATATATATATATATATATATATATATATATATATATATATATATATATATATAATCGATATCGAGTGAAAGGCGTGTAAGTTCGCACATCTTCAGGGGTGAGTACAGACTAGAGGAGTAATACAAATCAAGGTGTATATATACAGAGGAGGGTGAGACCAGGTCCACAATGGTCAGGTATTAGGTAATGACCCAACTAATCTTTAAATAGCACACAACGGTTGGTGGTCAGGTCAGATGGTCAAGTGACCCGGCCTTCTCACCTGATCACAAATCTTCTTAATTACAAAATTGTCCAGCTTGTACATGCCGTTACTCAAATTCATGTTGAATGCTTCGGTATGTTTAATAAGACTAGATTCTATGATGTTCCTACTATCAATTGAATTACATGGTAATATTGAGGAGGCATTATCCCAGTCAATGCAATGCTTGTTATCCCTCAAATGAACAAACAGAGCATTGGATTCCTGGCCTGTCCTAACACTGTATTTGTGTTGTTTAATTCTAGTTGCAAGATCTTTACCTGTCTGGCCTAAGTAAAACATATTACATTCCTTGCAAGGAACTTTATAAATGCAACCAATTGTGTTGTTGGGGGAGTTCTTGATTAACATTTGTTTAACAGTGCATGAGTTTTTAAATGCCACATTGACGTTCCAGGTTTTTAGCTGTGCAGGAATGTGTGAGAAATTTTTGTGAAATGGTAATATTAAGATATTCTTATGGTCATGGGTGGGCTTGGGGTCAGTTCTATAAAAAGTTTTCTTAGTAATGTTTAAGCATTTGTCTATGAAAGATCTAGGGTATTTAAGGTTTGAGCCAATATTATATATATATTTGTATTCCTCATCGATGAATTCCGGACTGCAAATTCTCAAGGCACGTAAAAACATTGTTGAAAATACTGACTGTTTGACTTTATTATGGTGGGCAGAATAATAATGAATGTATGAACACACATTAGTTGGTTTTCTATAAATACTGAACTTAAAAGTGTTACCTATTCTGTGTATCAGACAGTCTAGGAATGGCAATTTACAGTCTTGCTCTAATTCCACAGTGAATTTGATCGAGGGGGCTAAGTTGTTAAGTTGTGGCAGGAAAGCTTTTAGGTCCTCATTACATGGCCAGAGACATAATATATCATCAACATATCTAAACCAGACTGCTGAGGGTGGTAAAATATTACTTAATAGTTTCTTTTCAAAGAATTCCATATATAGGTTGCTTAATACAGGTGAGAGTGGATTACCCATTGCCATACCAAATTTTTGAGCATAATATTCCCCATTGAATTCGAATTTGCAATCCTTAATACATAGTTATGATGAGTTATATAAGTATATTATATACATTTCACTGCCCGTCTATTTATATAATATTAATTATATATATGTACCATCATAAAATTAAGATGTTATTTTTACTACAACATAGTTATGTGTCGTCAATAAGTGGAGTTTGGGGATCGGCCTGGACTCCATTTCAATTAATCCCATATGTTATGTTATTCACTTTACGCGGTACCCTCTGGGTTACATTAACCGCGTAAAGTGAGGGTTAACCGTATATATATATATATATGTATATATATATATATATATATATATATATATATATATATATATATATATATATATATATATATATATATATATATATATATATATATATATATATATATATATATATGTGTGTGTGTGTGTGTGTGTGTGTGTGTGTGTAACTAGAGATTTCACCTATTCTGTAATATGGCATCATAAAAAATTGTGACCAAGTCCTAGGTTGTTTATTTGACTTTCTGCCTCTTTTACGCACAATTGCAGGGTTTCAATTGTTTCTCTTATTTTGCCAACACAGCATGCATATATCGTTTCTCTCTATTGATTTTTTTATGGGCCTTTATTATTATAATTATTATTATTATTATTATTATTATATTTTCGCCCCCTGGGTCCTGATGTGGGTCATTGACCTGTAATTTTTTTTAGTTAGGTTAGATGGTTAGGTTAAATTATCTAAACATAACCTAACCTAACGATTAACTTCAACATATATCAGATTAGGTGGTTATAAGTAATAAGATTCATTTTTAAGCAAACATTCCTGAACTTATACGTCCAAATAAGTGTTATCACTTTTAAAGTTGTCACTTTGGAAGCGTACAGCATACACTAAAACAATGATGCTGCTAGTGTTCAAAACATTGGAAACTCTTTTTGGGAATCGTCTTCTGAGCTACGCCATACTGTATATCTTGAATATCTTCAGTGGTGGTAAATTTTCTTCCTTTGAGGAGAATTTCATTTTTGGAAACATCAGAAATCATCCCACAATGTCGAACAGTCAATAAGGCTTATTTTGTAGAAACTCTGAAGCTCTGAGAGATTTTATGGGACGTAAAAGGAGTGAACTGTGGCCCAATGTTTGGCTTTTTCATCATGACATTGTTCCGGCTCATATTGCGCTTTCTGTGAAACGGTTTTTATTATTGATAACCTACTTGGCTTCAAATGACTTTTGGCTGTTTCTGAAAATACAAACGCCCCTCAAAAAAAGATTTGTCAAACATGAAGATATTCAAGAAAATGTGGGTATCTTTTTTCAGCCTACAAAACGTTTATAGCAAAACACTCCACGACGTCACCTTTAATAGATTCACCAGAAACTTGAAAATCGGGCCATTCTTGCAGTATCTCTTTCACCGACTTTTTTCCACTACGACTGTCACTCCTCTGTGATCGATCCATATTCTATGAATCTACTATTCTCACTCCATCACCCTCGTTTCGCTTCATGTATAGTCCCACTCTTTCAGTGTTGTACTGTACTTCTGAAGAACGTCGAAATTATTGTTTTCTTATAAATTTTCATCTTTTTCTAAGAAATGATCCACAGTAGAGCAGTGAATCCGCACATTACTCGTCAAGAGATAATGCAACCTGCCACTCACCTCTCCTAAGAAACAAGTTCCTTTTATACTCTCAAACAACACAGCGACGACAAAAATTTTCGGTGGTTTACTATGTTCTCGCGGTTATTTGTCTTTATCATCGTCAGCCTCAGATATTGACGTTCATAGACACAGAGGATTAAAAACAAATACGAAATGCTCACGAGTAGCCAATATGATCACCTGTTAAAAGTTGAAGTCTGTCTCTCGTTTTGTGCGAGCTGCTCTTCAACACTCACTTCTTTTTTGAGGAAAATGTCTTCAGTATCCCTTCCAAGATTATTCGGGTGTTTTGACACGCGTCATATAAGCTAGTTGTTACACAGTTAATTTCCCTATGCTATGGAGCACACCAAGGGAGTCTGCTGGCTGCTAGCATAATCTTACCTCCCAGATTGGTATCTCCCGCCAGCCACTTCGTTTATCTCGGGTATTATCTTTTTATCAAGAAAAATACATAACAACCCTCTCGGGTGCTTACCAACATCTCTATGGTTTTCACCGGGATATAAGATTATGACACCTAATCATCACCATGACTACATGATACACATCAAGCGCCATAACTATGAGTGGGGGCCCTGTGTAGTTTCAGTTTAGTACGATTTAAAATTAAATACAAAATATAGAAGACATACTGGCCATCATTCTAAAGAAGCTTTAGTACTAAATAATAACACAAAATAATTGTTCATTTTTAAAACCTTTAAGTCTTTTTATAAAACATTTAATCCAGTTCTATCGAATAAATGCTGATTTTGCATTTTGTCGTCACTGTATTGATATTTGTCATATGCCTGTCGGCTACCCTAGCCGTGGTTGAAAAATGTTTCACAAGGCAGAATATCGCAGAATAATGAAGTTTATCGTATTCGATGAAGGAACCAAAGAGAACGAATTGTTCTATGTTACCTTATAGAAGAAAACGAAATAATTATATGAGCAACTATTATTTACTCTAAGCTAGATAGACTATGTAGGCATATAGTTCAGTGTATGTGTAGATAACGCAGGTATGTAGTGTACATAGGCCGTGGAGGTACAGTATACAGTTTTCAATGTACAATCACAATCCAGAGATTCTTTTCCTCCCTTGGCTGGAGGGAAGGCGGAGCCAGGGTTGAGGAAAGGCCAATGGAACGTACGTACAGACACTCGTTCAATAGTTTACTTAACTTTATTTATCTTCTTGGCCACTGATCAGCTCGTTAGCCGCTTGGGCGGTCGGCCAAGTCCCTTTTTCGCACTGTTGAAAAGTCCTGGGCATGTACTGGTGCCAGAATGTATCTGGACAACGTTCTCTGACAGATTATTCCAAGAGTTCACAACGCCCACTCCCCAAAAAATTGTCCTGGCAATTTTTTGAACTTGTGGCATCTTCGTCCTTAAGCTATGATACCTAGCGGGGATGTTTATAAATTTCTGTTGTCACCCCTTGCCCGTCTATAGGCAACTGCAGGCGTTCTAATCCCTCTGGTTACCTTCTGTGTTGTGGTGAAGGCTCTAGTCTGGTGGCTCTCCTTTTGGGCGTTTTCAGTCAACTGACAGCCTCTGGCATATCTCCGGGACCAGGCGGGATGGCAGTACTCCAAACGGGGAAGCACCTCACTTTTGAAGAGTGTTGAGAGAACTTCACCTTGTTGTCAACATACAGTACACACCTTGTTTGGTGATGAAGCACGATGACGGTGGGGCTCACACACCAGCACCTCAACACAGTCACTTAAGTAAAACACACGAGCACAGGCATAAAATATGATTAAAAATATTGACATGATATGGTATGTTGGTAGGACTATAATTATTTTATGATATTAATATATAACGACAGCAAAAAGCATAGTGTATGCCCGTTCGCCTGGCCAAGGGGGATAAAGAAACATTGGATTGTGACAGTACTTAGACAGTACAGGTATACAACAGGAGTAAAGTAATTTTACCAAGGATAACCGACAGAGCCATCAGAAGCTTATATCCAGTAGGGTCCTTTGTTTAGGCTTCGCTACTAATCAGTATTAGTATATCTAACCACATAAAGGGGGAAAAGGTGCCCATAGGTGCTCTTGTTTTCCCGATCGTCCCATAAATGTTCCCTCAGTTCTGACTCCCCTCAGCTGGCAAGTGTTGCCAACAATGGGGGAACGCCACCGACGAAAACGCAGAAGAGGCGTTAGTTCTCTCATGGATACAAGCATCCCTGATACGGATACCATTGCCATCTCGCCTGGTCATACTGCATCCCACACCCTTGATTCAGATCTCAGTGACTCTGACGGTAACAATGCCACAGGCGGTGCGCCGCCCCCAGCCACCCTCCCATCTGAGAACCAGTCACACTATTGAGAGCTATGAAACACTTAGTGCTGTCGAGTTTGACTGGGTTGTCCTGCAGCCTCCCCCAGTGGACGCAGCTGAATGTTGCCACATCCTAGTTAAACAATTCCCACAATACACTGATAACGAAGCTGCTAGTGACTTTAATCCTTGTGTACTCAGTATACGTCGACACCCCACAAGCCGCTGTCATTGTTAAATGGAAGGAGAGGGAGTGCCCAACCACTGTTGAGGCCCACCCAGTCCTCCATCCGCTTTATGCAGAACCCTATCATCCTGGGCCTGCTTTTTGTGTTGCCTATTGCCATTGGGGTCTCACCATCGCCGCCTGCCGCCGACGTGATCGTCTTAGATGTCGCTTCTGCTCACGTGTACGGAGTACACTTGTCTTTACGGAGTACACTTGTCTCGTGAGGGGGTAAAGACGTTGCGTGTGTCTTGGTTGTTCTTGACGAGTGTTTCTGCTTGCAGGTGTCGGATGACCTCGCTTGCCTCGTGCGACCAGGTGGCCCCTCTCACTCTGTGGTCGAGGTGGAGGGAGGCACTGATTCGAATTTTGGCAACTGTGAGCTTATCTGATCTACAGATTTTGGCGAGGAGACCGGCTGTCACCTGCCGGATCAGGAATCGAGGCGCGCGTAGCGCAAGAGCCAATCACAGGGGAGAACGCGAAAGGTGTGAAACTCCCTGATTCTGGCAGGTTGTGGAAGCTTTGACCTCTCCTGGAGTTGCTACCCGTCCGTCCACATCTGAGAGTAGATCGGTGGACATCACTGGCTGTACGCAACATACAGATGACGTGGACGCCTCCCTTAGCCAATAAGGTCCGGGAGGGGTGCATAGTACCTTACACAAACCCTCTCCCTCAAAGAATGGGACCAGGAATGCACAATACCTGCAAAAGCCCTCCATGCAAATTGCAGAAGACCTTTACAAGCCAAAAGGAAAAAGAAGGAAAGCTATAATAACCCAACTCTGCCAACCACTAATAAAACCTACAATCCTCCCAAAAGAAAAACTTAATCCCCCAATCTTACTCACAATTCCTCAAAAAAAAAAAAAAATATTAACTCAACTTATCCAACCACTAATCAACTCCTACAATCCTCCCAAAACAAAAACTTAATATACCCGACCTTCCTAACAACCCCACCTCGATCCCCCCCCCTTTAAAAAAAAAATTTACATTTAACTCATACAACTATTCATTAGCCACACAAACAGAAGTAGATAATGCTGAAAATATAGTTAGTCATAATAACAAACATCAAAGTAATAAATGTAAAACAGATAGAAACGGAAGAAATATATTGAGTGTTTATTATACTAATAGTAGAAGCCTGTGTAACAGAATGGACCAGCTCAGGCCATTGTTAGTAAAGAGAACATAGATATAATTGCAATAACGGAAACATGGATAAGTTCAAACAGCAAACATTTTTTAGCAGAATTTCATATTCCAGGATATAACCTATTTAAATTTGACAGAGTAGGAAGGAGAGGTGGCGGTGTAGCAGTGTATATCAGGGTGTCATTAAAAAGCTGCAATAAATCAAACATTAAAACAAATAGCGACAATGAAAGTATATGGGTAGAGATTGGTGAGGGCAGTGAATCCGTAGTCATTGGTGTTATATATAGACCACCTAATTTGAGTAGGAACGATGGTAAATTGCTATGGGAGGAAATAAAGAAGGCATCTGATAGAAACAATGTATGTATTCTAGGCGATTTCAACTTTTCAGGCTTAGATTGGAAAAATCAACTTAGCGATAATGAATCTGAAGATTTTCTAGAAGTAGTACAAGATAGTTTTTTATATCAATTCATAAACTCGCCCATTAGAGGAAATAATATCCTCGATTTAGTTCTCAGTAATAATGAAAATCTAGTAAAAGATGTTGGGATTGGAGACGAACTAGGAAACAGTAATCATAAAGCCATATATTTTAACATAATATGGGATGGCAGGAAGAAGGAAAATTCGGCCTTGATCCCGGATTTTAGGAAGGCTAATTACGGTAGCTTAAGGAGAGACCTAAGGGATGACCCTATGGTCAAAAGATTAATCCCCCCTACACCTCCGGAAACTGTCAACTTAGGACGGGATAACCCCGAATTTAATTTAGCAGCTACTTATGAACAATTTATTGCG